AAATCACTGCAGTATTCTTATTTTTCTCATTTCACTGAAGACCAGTGAAAAATAGACCATTAATGCCAAACTTTATACTGATATTTGGAAATCACCGCTGTTTCCCTAAGGGATTTGTCTGTTCCCTCTAGCTTCAGTTTTGACCTACTTTGTATCTCAATGTTTTGAAGATTTATACCTTGCTTTTTTATTGTCCTCAGTTCCATCTTTCTGGAGGAAATTTTCTGATTATAAAAGTAAAACATGCCTACCTCAGAAAACTAACATGCAGAGAAGTGTAAAGACAAAAATCACCTATAATTTTACCACCCAGTGGTGATTATCAGGAATAGTTTTTGTTTTCCCTACTAGACTATTTCCTCTGCTTACACACACAAGCACCTCAGAATCAATTTTAAAAGTCAAATTTATTATCTTTTTCCCACACTGCTAAATCTCTTCCTCCTCGCGTATTTCTTATATCAGTTAATAGTGTCACTATCTGCTTATATAACTAAAGTAGAACCATTGGAATCTTAACTCCTCCTTTATCTCAGTACATTGACTTGATCACTAAACTTTTTGTTATTTCTTCTTAATAACTCCTGAATGTTTTCGTATCTCCATTGCTACTTTTTTAGTTTAGGCCCTCCTTATCTCCTGCTTTGATTATTACAGCTACATATATACTAGTCGTCTTATCCGCTGTCTTCCCCTCTACCGTATATTCTCAAAGTGCTGTTTCTGAAACACAGAGCAGATACGGTACTTTTTTTTTTTTTTTTGAGACAGTGTCTTTCTCTATCTCCCAGGCTAGAGCGCAGTAACATCATCATAGCACACTGCAACATCAAACTCCTGGGCTTGAGTGATCCTCCTACCTGAAGTAACTGGTACTACAGGCACATGCCACAACGCCTGGCTAATTTTTCTAATTTTTGTAGAGACAGTGGTCTTGCTCTTGCTCAGGCTGGTCTCGAACTCCTGGCCTCAAGCTATTCTCTCCCTTCGACCTCCTAGAGTCCTAGGATTACAGGCGTGAGCCACCACATTCAGCCCATATATGGTACTTTTGTACATAAAATTATTGCCCACAACAGAAAGCCCAAACTCACTAGCATCACATTCAAGCCTATTCTTCATCAAACCCTTTGTCACCCTCATCTCCTGATATCTCCGTGATATATGTGTTACTAACATGTCTCATGTTACACTTTATCAATTAGCCACAGACTTCCATTTTGTAGCTGTTAATGAGGTGCCTCATATAATACCTAGCCATCAATTGAATCAGTTCATGATACTGTTTATATATATAATGTTATTTATAGATGTATATAGATGTATAATGTTTTACCTGGATAACAATTTTACTTTTTGCCGTAGTCACCAAGGAGCTAGTTAGCTGGATGAGAGGACATGAATCATCAGTATTTTCCATCTCTGTGCATGCATCAGGGAAATATGCCATCACTACTTCTTCTGATACAGCACAATTATGGGACTTGGATACCTTTCAGAGAAAAAGAAAGCTGAATATTCGCCAGTCTGTGGGTATACAAAAGGTCAGTGCGGGGGTACATCTTGGCCTGTTGTGCTTCTTGGGCTGATTTCTTGGTCAGCAGGATTTACGGATGACATAAGAGCAATGATTCACTTTGTCCCACATAGCTATGTTCTCGTAACTCAGCAACAAGCAAAGCAAAGAGACCAACACAATTAAAGGTATTGCCTTTGGCTACAATTTATGACTTGTTGAGCTTTATTTATTTATTTTTT